TTATGGGTCTCAGTGCTCATCAATGGGTCTGTGTGAGTTTATGGGTCTCAGTGCTAATCAATGGGTCTATGTGTGAGTTTATGGGTCTCAGTGCTAATCAATGGGTCTATGTGTGAGTTTATGGGTCTCAGTGCTAATCAATGGGTCTGTGTGAGTTTATGGGTCTCAGTGCAAATCAATGGGTCTCTGTGTGATTTTATGGGTCTCAGTGCTAATCAATGGGTCTCTATGTGTGAGTTTATGGGTCTCAGTGCTCATCAATGGGTCTGTGTGAGTTTATGGGTCTCAGTGCTAAACAATGGGTCTCTATGTGTGAGTTTATGGGTCTCAGTGCTCATCAATGGGTCTCGGTGTGAGTCTATAGGTCTCGGTGCTAATCAATGGGTCTGTGTGTGCGAGTCTATAGGTCTCAGTGCTAATCAATGGGTCTCTGTGTGAGTCTATGGGTCTCTGTGTGAGTCTATAGGTCTCTGCGAGTCTACGGGTCTCTGTGCGAGTCTACGGGTCTCTGTGCGAGTCTACGGGTCTCTGTGCGAGTCTACGGGTCTCTGTGCGAGTCTACGGGTCTCTGTGCGAGTCTACGGGTCTCTGTGCGAGTCTACGGGTCTCTGTGCGAGTCTACGGGTCTCTGTGCAAGTCTACGGGTCTCTGTGCGAGTCTACGGGGCTCTGTGCGAGTCTACGGGTCTCTGTGCGAGTCTACGGGTCTCTGTGCGAGTCTACGGGTCTCTGTGCGAGTCTACGGGTCTCTGTGCGAGTCTACGGGTTCTGTGCGAGTCTACGGGTCTCTGTGCGAGTCTACGGGTCTCTGTGCGAGTCTACGGGTCTCTGTGCGAGTCTACGGGTCTCTGTGCGAGTCTACGGGTCTCTGTGCGAGTCTACGGGTCTCTGTGCGAGTCTACGGGTCTCTGTGCGAGTCTACGGGTCTCTGTGCGAGTCTACGGGTCTCTGTGCGAGTCTACGGGTCTCTGTGCGAGTCTACGGCTCTGTGCGAGTCTACGGGTCTCTGTGCGAGTCTACGGGTCTCTGTGCGAGTCTACGGGTCTCTGTGCGAGTCTACGGGTCTCTGTGCGAGTCTACGGGTCTCTGTGCGAGTCTACGGGTCTCTGTGCGAGTCTACGGGTCTCTGTGCGAGTCTACGGGTCTCTGTGCGAGTCTACGGGTCTCTGTGCGAGTCTACGGGTCTCTGTGCGAGTCTACGGGTCTCTGTGCGAGTCTACGGGTCTCTGTGCGAGTCTACGGGTCTCTGTGCGAGTCTACGGGTCTCTGTGCGAGTCTACGGGTCTCTGTGCGAGTCTACGGGTCTCTGTGCGAGTCTACGGGTCTCTGTGCGAGTCTACGGGTCTCTGTGCGAGTCTACGGGTCTCTGTGCGAGTCTACGGGTCTCTGTGCGAGTCTACGGGTCTCTGTGCGAGTCTACGGGTCTCTGTGCGAGTCTACGGGTCTCTGTGCGAGTCTACGGGTCTCTGTGCGAGTCTACGGGTCTCTGTGCGAGTCTACGGGTCTCTGTGCGAGTCTACGGGTCTCTGTGCGAGTCTACGGGTCTCTGTGCGAGTCTGTGGGTCTCTGTGCGAGTCTGTGGGTCTCTGTGCGAGTCTACGGGTCTCTGTGCGAGTCTACGGGTCTCTGTGCGAGTCTACGGGTCTCTGTGCGAGTCTACGGGTCTCTGTGCGAGTCTACGGGTCTCTGTGCGAGTCTACGGGTCTCTGTGCGAGTCTACGGGTCTCTGTGCGAGTCTACGGGTCTCTGTGCGAGTCTACGGTCTCTGTGCGAGTCTACGGGTCTCTGTGCGAGTCTACGGGTCTCTGTGCGAGTCTACGGGTCTCTGTGCGAGTCTACGGGTCTCTGTGCGAGTCTGTGGGTCTCTGTGCGAGTCTGTGGGTCTGCTACCCCCCCCTCTGCCACGCGCAGCCCCGCTCCTCACCCCAGGGGCAAATCCACGACCTCCTGCAGACCAGGCGAGGTAGTCAACATCTCATACCCACCGTGATGATGATGATGATGAGAAAGACGCAGACCTCAAATAAACAGCAGCAGGCGTCGTCAGGGTCGGGATCGAACCCACGACCTCCTGTGCGCCAGGCGAGGTAGTTAACATCTCCTAGCCACCGTGATGATGATGATGATGAGAGAGAGACACGCAAACTTCAGGTATACAACACCCGCACTTACTATCTTCCGTGAAATCGAAACAAATATGAACGTCAACTTTAACCGCCAACTCAGCGCTTGCAAACTGAACCGTGGGACGATTTTGTTCAGAGGAGCAATCCCCCTCGGGATGTAATGAGTCGGTCTCGCGCTGGGAGTGAGTGTCAGTGTGTGTGTGTCAGTGTGTGTGTGTCTGTCTGTCTGTGTGTGTCTGTCTGTGTGTGTCAGTGTGTGTGTCACTGTGTGTGTCACTGTGTGTGTGTGTCACTGTGTGTGTGTGTGTCACTGTGTGTGTGTGTGTCACTGTGTGTGTCACTGTGTGTGTGTGTGTCACTGTGTGTGTGTGTGTCACTGTGTGTGTCACTGTGTGTGTGTGTGTCACTGTGTGTGTGTGTGTCACTGTGTGTGTGTCAGTGTGTGTGTGTGTGTCACTGTGTGTGTGTCACTGTGTGTGTGTCAGTGTGTGTGTGTCACTGTGTGTGTGTGTCAGTGTGTGTGTGTCAGTGTGTGTGTGTCAGTGTGTGTGTGTCAGTGTGTGTGTGTCAGTGTGTGTGTGTCAGTGTGTGTGTGTCTGTCTGTCTGTGTGTGTCTGTCTGTCTGTGTGTGTCTGTCTGTCTGTGTGTGTCTGTCTGTCTGTCTGTGTGCCCCGTGTGTCAGTGTCTCTGTCTGTCTGTGTGTCTGTGTGTCTGTCTGTGTGTCGTGTGTGTACACGTGTGTGTGTCAGTGTGTGTACACGTGTGTGTGTGTGTGTGGTGAGCGGTGGTGCAGTGGTTAGCGCTACGATGCGCTACGAACCCGGCGACCCGAGTTCGATTCCCGCTCACGGCCACCAACACCAGTGACGATTATCTGAACCGGTCCTGGGCCTCCCCTAGGTCGACTCAGCCTCAAATGAGAACCTAGTGCGATGTGTAGTAAATATCGCCACTGGGGAGACAAAGGCGGCCGGGCGTGGCGCTGACCACCCACCCCCTCGTGTGCCACAGTGCCGGTAGCCTTCATAGGCGCTGCTGCTACTCGCTACTAACAGCACTTGCCCCTGCAGCCTGTTAGAAGCTACACGGGGAGGCTTTGTCTTTGTGCAGGACATGAGGAACTAATGTGGTGGACGATGTTTTTGGTAATCGTCCTACGAAGTGGTACACACCCACACTCACTCACACACACACTCACATAGTAACTCACTCACACACTCACATAGTAACTCACTCACACACTCACTCACATAGTAACTCACTCACTCATATAGTAACTCACTCACTCACACACTCACATAGTCACTCACTCACACACTCGCATAGTAACTCACTCACACACTCACATAGTCACTCACACACTCACTCACATAGTAACTCACTCACTCACACACTCACATAGTCACTCACTCACACACTCGCATAGTAACTCACTCACACACTCACATAGTCACTCACTCACACACTCACATAGTCACTCACTCACATAGTAACTCACACACACACACTCACATAGTAACTCACTCACACACTCACATAGTAACTCACTCACACACTCACATACATAGTCACACACTCACTCACACACTCACATAGTCACTCACTCACTCACATAGTAACTCACTCACACACTCGCATAGTAACTCACTCACACACTCACTCACATAGTCACACACTCACTCACACACTCACATACTCACTCACTCACTCACATAGTAACTCACACACACTCACATAGTAACTCACTCACACACTCACATAGTAACTCACTCACACACTCACATAGTAACTCACTCACACACTCACATAGTAACTCACTCACACACTCACATACATAGTCACACCCAGTCACCCACACTGACCCAGTCACTCACTCACCCAGTCACTCACTCACAACACCCACCTCACACTCACTCACATACATAGTCACACACATTCACACTCACTCACACTCTCACTCACCCAGTCCCTCACACTCTCACTCACACAGTCACTCACCCAGTCACCCAGTCACTCACCCACTCACTCATAGTCACTCACCCAGTCACTCACACACCTACTCACACACACACACCCACTCACTCACACACCCAGTCACTCACACACCCACTTACAAATAACACAAACCAATACAACTTTGCTCCTGAATGGACCATTACATGTGCTGTGTATACGAGATACACACCAGGCGACGTTTCGGGCTATGACCCTTCTTCATAGCACCAACTCACCTCACTCCCACCAATTCACCAACCCACCCACCAAATCACCCACCAACCCACCCACCAATGCACCAACCCACCCACCAATTCACCAACCCACCCACTCACCCACAAATTCACCCACCCACAAACCCCCTCACCCACCCACCAATTCACCCACCCACAAACCCACTCACCCACCAACCCACCCACCAATTCACCAACCCACCACTAACCCAGCCACCAATTCACCCACCCACCAATTCACCCACCCACCAATTCACCCACCCACCAACCAACCCACCCACCAACCCACTCACCCACCAACCCACTCACCCCACCAACCCACTCAACCACCACCACCCACTCACCCCCCAACCCACTCACCCACCAAACCCACTCACCCACCAACCCACTCACCCACCAACCCACTCACCCACCAACCCACTCACCCACCAACCCACTCAACCCACCCACCCACCCAAACCCACCCAAACCCACCAACCCACCCACCAATTCAGCCACCCACAAACCCACCCACTCACCCCACAAATAACACTAAATCCCAACACGCTCGTAAGTGACACCGCGTGTGTTGATCTTACATGATATAAACAGGCGACGTTTCGGGGCAAGACCCTTCAACAGATCACACACAGATCCAAGTCACTCACCAGCCATGGTGTCCTTTCTTGTATCGCGTTGTCTCTCTCTGTGCGTGTGTTGGGGTCACGGTGTGGTGTGTGTGTGTTGGGGTCACGGTGTGTGTGTGTGTAGGTGTCACAGTGTGTGTGTGTGTAGGTGTCACAGTGTGTGTGTCACAGTGTGTGTGTGTGTGTTGGGGTCACGGTGTGTGTGTGTGTGTTGGGGTCACGGTGTGTGTGTGTGTAGGTGTCACAGTGTGTGTGTGTGTAGGTGTCACAGTGTGTGTGTGTAGGTGTCAGTGTGTGTGTGTGCATGCAGTGTGTCACTGGTACAGTGCGGACACGTGTGATGTGTGTGTCACTGGTACAGTGTGTGGAGTGCGGGTGATGCCACTGCCGCCGCTGCTGCTGATGCTGCCGCTGATGCCACTGCCGCTGATGCCACTGCCGCTGCTGATGATGCTGCTGATGCTGCCGCTGCTGCTGCTGCCGCTGCTGATGATGCCGCTGCTGATGTTGCTGCTGATGCCGCTGGTGGCACCGCGAGTGAAGAGGAAGCTGCCACAGCGCCTCTCTTCCGCGTTTATAGGCACGCGTCACGCGGGGGAGGGGCTGGGAGGGGGAGGGGCTGGGAGGGGGAGGGGCTGGGAGGGGGAGGGGCTGGGAGAGGGAGGGGGCTGGGAGGGGGAGGGGCTGGGAGGGGGAGGGGCTGGGGAGAGGGAGGGGCTGGGAGGGGGAGGGGCTGGGAGGGGGATGGGCTGGGAGGGGGAGGGGCTGGGAGAGGGAGGGGCTGGGAGGGGGAGGGGCTGGAGGGGGAGGGGCTGGGAGGGGGAGGGGCTGGGAGAGGGAGGGGCTGGGAGGGGGAGGGGTCTGGGAGGGGGGATGGGCTGGGAGGGGGAGGGGCTGGGCGAGGGAGGGGCTGGGAGGGGGAGGGGCTGGGAGGGGGAGGGGCTGGGAGGGGGAGGGGCTGGGGGAGGGGGTGGGAGGGAGGGGCTGGGAGGGGGATGGGCTGGGAGGGGATGGGCTGGGAGAGGGAGGGGCTGGGAGAGGGGAGGGGCTGGGAGGAGGAGGGGCTGGGAGAGGGAGGGGCTGGGAGAGGGGAGGGGCTGGGAGAGGGAGGGGCTGGGAGAGGGGCTGGGAGGAGGTAGTGTGATGGGGGGGGTAGTGTGATGGGGGCGAGGTGATGGGGTAGGGTGAGTGTGATGTGGACATCCCTGCCGCACCCCAAGGTGTACAGGGAATGGCTCCGACTCCCGGCCACGTAGTTCACCCGGGCCCGCTCACCATCATGAAGTGTCCTTAATGATCGTGAGCAGAGGGTCAGGGACTCTGAAAGCACGAAGAACAACCCAGAGCCCAGGCCTACTGATGGTATCATAGGCCCTTGACCAGGTCAATAAAGCAGAGATGTAGGTCTTGTTGGAATTCCCCTACACCTCTGCTGTAAGCAGACGGACAGAAAAATATGGCATCTGGGCAGGAACGTCCTTTTCTGAAACCGCATTGGGGCTCCGCAAGCCTCTCCTCAGCGTGCCTGGCAAGGCGATGTTGAATAATCCTTGCCAGGACCTTTCCCGGCCTCACACTGAGGAGGAGTGAAATGCCCCTGTAGTTGTTACAGTCTGTAGGTCCCCCTTTCTTAAACAGGGGGAACCCAACCAGGGCACCATTCCAATCCTGCGGAACCCGTCCAGCGGTCCACACTGTTGTGACGATGCCACGTAGGGCAGTCTGTGCACAGGACGCCACCCTCCCAGGGCAGTTCGCTTGGGAGATCATCTCCGCCCGGCGCTTTTCTGGTCTCGGACCTTTCTCAACAGATGGCGCCTCCACCAGCCTACCCACCCACCCACTCACGCTCCCCCTGAGAGAGAGATACCCCAGACCCCGGGCTTGAACCCAGCCTCTCAGTGTCTCTCACACGGCCATCGTGAACCCCCTGAAGAGAGAGAGACACCCAGACCCAGGGCTTGAACCCAGACTCTCAGTGTCTCTCACACGGCCATCGTGAACCCCCTGAGAGAGAGAGAGAGAGACACCCAGACCCAGGGCTTGAACCCAGGCTCTCAGTGTCTCTGACACGGCCATCGTGAACCCCCTGAGAGAGAGAGAGACACCCAGACCCAGGGCTTGAACCCAGACTCTCAGTGTCTCTCACACGGCCATCGTGAACCCCCTGAGAGAGAGAGAGAGAGACACCCAGACCCAGGGCTTGAACCCAGGCTCTCAGTGTCTCTGACACGGCCATCGTGAACCCCCTGAGAGAGAGAGACACCCAGACCCAGGGCTTGAACCCAGACTCTCAGTGTCTCTGACACGGCCATCGTGAACCCCCTGAGAGAGAGAGACACCCAGACCCAGGGCTTGAACCCAGACTCTCAGTGTCTCTGACACGGCCATCGTGAACCCCCTGAGAGAGACACCCAGACCCAGGGCTTGAACCCAGGCTCTCAGTGTCTCTGACACGGCCATCGTGAACCCCTGAGAGAGAGAGACACCCAGACCCAGGGCTAGAACCCAGACTCTCAGTGTCTCTGACACGGCCATTGTGAACCCCCTGAGAGAGAGACACCCAGACCCAGGGCTTGAACCCAGACTCTCAGTGTCTCTGACACGGCCACTGTGAACCCCCTGAGAGAGAGAGACACCCAGACCCAGGGCTTGAACCCAGGCTCTCAGTGTCTCTGACACGGCCATCGTGAACCCCTCCCGCTCGCTCGCAGGCAGCGGGCTACTTTCTCAAATACTTGAGGCGCCACGGGCCCGGCAAGCTGGGCAACCCGTGACGTTATCCTGGACCTCAGACGACCTCCGGCAAAATGGATTCCCGCGGGGTCAGAGGTCGCGGCGCGGCTCTTTCCCTTGTTGTAGGTCGCCATGTTGGTGCAGCTACAGGGCGATTCGTGACCGCGAGCGACTGGGGCAGCCTCCACCCCCTCGGCAACCCGCGGCCACCACCGCCTCGACCTTTGCTTCATCATCGGCATTGCCTGGCATCCCTCCACCGATGTTCATCTTCGGTGTGGGGCGTCAGGCACCACCAACACCACCACCACCATTCCTCGCCTCTCGTCGATGGGGAGGTGAGCCACATCTCACCGCCGCGCTCCCACGCCCCCTTTATTCTCTTGTTCAGAAGAAGAGCCACTCCCTGTTGTTTGGCAGTCTCCTGCCCCGGGTCGAGGACTGTCCACCCCTCATGGTGGCAGGAGCCAGAGCCGGTCCACCGGACCTCCTGAATACTGCAAAGATCCAGGCGGTACCGGTCCAGCTCCCGACAGAGAAGTGGCAGCCTCTCCCACACACATACTAATAGGAGCAGTATAGCAGCAGTGCAAATACTCCGAGCGCGTGACGTTGATTTTAAATGTCAAGGGGAAAACCGGAGGGATCCCAGAGGAAATTCCACGCGACCACGGCGAGAGAGAGAGAGAGACGCAGACTCTAAATATACAGCAGCAGCAGCAGGCGTTAGGGTCGGGGTCGAACTCACGACCTCCTGTATACCAGGCGAGGTAGTCAACATCTCACTGAAGACAAAGACACACCGTGTAGCTTTAACAGACTGTTGGGGCAAGTGCTGTTAGCGAGCACCTATGAAGACCGGCACGGCACACGAGGGGGTGGGTGGCCAGCACCACGCCCGGCCGCCTTTGTCTCCCCAGTGGCGATGTTTACTACACACCGCACCAGGTACTCATTTGAGGCTGAGTCGACCTAGGGGAGGCCCAGGACCGGTCACTGGTGGTGTTGGTGGCCGTGAGCGGGAATCGAACTCGGTCGCCGGGTTTGTAGCGCAGCTTAGCGCTAACCGCTGCACCACCGCTCCCCACACGCACACACACACACACACGTACACACACACTCTAAAACACTCCCACAAAAACTCGCACACACAGGCGTACACACACTCACACACGTACATGCAGGCATGCACACACACATACACTCAAACACACAACTCTCACACACACACAAACCCACACACACATGTGTACACACACTCACACACGTACATGCAGGCATGCACACACACACACTTAAACACACACACACAAACCCACACACACAGGCGTAAACACACACTCACACACACATACATGCAGGCATGCACACACACACACTCGAACACACAAACTCTCACACACACACATGCGTACACACACACTCACACGCACGTACGTGCAGGCATGCACACACACACACTCAAACACACAAACCCACACACACATGGGTACACACACTCCCACACACCCAGCTACGTGCAGACATGCACCACACACTCAAACACACAAACACACACACGTACAGGCATACACACACACGCGCACTCAAACACTCAAACACACACACGTACAGGCATGCACACACACACGCACTCAAAGACACCCTCACACACACCCACCTACGTGCAGGCATGCACACACACACGTACTCAAACACACACACACACGCACAGGCATACACACACACACAGGCGTACACACACGCGCACACACACCCAGACTATTTTTTAACTCACGCGTGCTGCCAGTGTGTGTGTGTGTGAGAGTGTTGAGATGACACAGAAGGGGGTGTTCGTGTTCTCACTTTAACCCGAGCATGCTGCTCGTGTGGTCAGAACACTTCACGATGGCCGTGTCAGAGACACTGAGAGTCTGGGTTCGAGCCCTGGGTCTGGGTGTCTCTCTCTCTCATGGGGTTCACGATGGCCGTGTGAGAGACACTGAGAGTCTGGGTTCGAGCCCTGGGTCTGGGTGTCTCTCTCTCTCATGGGGTTTACGATGGCCGTGTGAGGACACTGAGAGTCTGGGGTTCGAGCCCTGGGTCTGGGTGTCTCTCTCTTCTTTCTCAGGGGTTCACTATGGCCATGTCAGAGACACTGAGAGTCTGGGTTTAAGCCCTGGGTCTGGGTGTCTCTCTCTCTCTTAGGGGGTTCACGATGGCCGTGTCAGAGACACTGAGTTTGGGTTCAAGCCTGGGTCTGAGTGTCTCTCTGTGTCTCTCAGGGGGTTCACGATGGCCGTTTCAGAGACACTGAGTGTCTGGGTTCAAGCCCTGGGTCTGGGTGTCTCTCTCTCTCAGGGGGTTCACGATGGCCGTGTCAGAGACACTGAGAGTCTGGGTTCAAGCCCTGGGTCTGGGTGTCTCTCTCTCTCAGGGGGTTCACAATGGCCGTGTCAGAGACACTGAGTGTCTGGGTTCAAGCCCTGGGCCTGGGTGTCTCTCTCTCAGGGGGTTCACAATAGCCGTGTCAGAGACACTGAGAGTCTGGGTTCAAGCCCTGGGTCTGGGTGTCTCTGTCTCTCAGGGGGTTCACGATGGCCGTGTCAGAGACACCGAGAGTCTGGGTTCGAGCCCTGGGTCTGGGTGTCTCTCTCTGTCTCTCAGGGGGTTTACGATGGCCGTGTCAGAGACACTGAGATCCTGGGTTCGAGCCCTGGGTCTGGGTGTCTCTCTCAGGGGGTTCACGATGGCCGTGTCAGAGACACTGAGAGTCTGGGTTCAAGCCCTGGGTCTGGGTGTCTCTCGCTCTCAGTGGGGTTCACTAAGTCAGAGACACTGAGAGTCTGGGTTCGAGCCTGGGTCTGGGTGTGTCTCTCTCTCTCTCTCAGGGGGTTCACGATGCGCGTGTCAGAGACACTGAGAGTCTGGGTTCGAGCCCTGGGTCTGGGTGTCTCTCTCTCAGGGGGTTCACAATGGCCGTGTCAGAGACACTGAGTGTCTGGGTTCAAGCCCTGGGTCTGGGTGTCTCTCTCTCAGGGGGTTTCACGATGGCCGTGTCAAGACACTGAGAGTCTGGGGTTCGAGCCCTGGTCTGGGTCTCCGTGTCTGTCTGCCCACGTGTGAGTGTAAACCACCCGCTCACATGATGGTGAGCTATTAGCAGCAGAGAAGATGGATCTCCAGAGACCCGGAAACTCCCGAAGATTCAACACGTGATGAGTCTATGGGTCTCTGTGTGGTGAGTCTGTGGGTTC